CATGAGCCACTGCACCCGCCCATATCTTTCTTGATAATAGTTTATAAGACAAATGTTTAGATAATATACTGTTATCCCCCAAATCAAAAGAAGGCATCATTATGATGTCAGTGCAAGAAAACATGGAATGAACCCTAATGCCCAGTTAAAGGGAGGCAGTCATCATGCTACGCTATCCTTTGTCCTTTGATCATGAGTGTACCACATCTGCTTTAGGCAAACCAGTCTATCTTCAGAGACCAGGAAGGTATAACAATGTGGCAGGTTAGTAATCCTCACAGCAGGCTTGTAAAAAGCTTTTTCTTCATTCCCTTTACAGTTGAGGAATTCAACTGTACAGTTGAGGAATTGTAGTTTAATTACCTAGTTATATGTCAGTACTGGGATTCAAACCCTAATCTAACTATAAATCTGATCCACATAGAACCAGTGTTCCATTCTGCTTGCCAGGCATATCATGAAGAATGTTGAGGAAACATTAGGTGTTTAGCATAAGAAGTGAAGACTTGGAAGGAAGGTGTTTTCAAATATGTGAAAAGCTGAAATATAGACAAAGGACAGAGAAAACCTGTTGTGTCACTCCCCTGTTTAAAACCCTTTAATGGTTTTTAGTTGTTAAAGAAATAAGGTATAACTTCTTAGCAAAATTTAGAGACAACTTAATGATATGCTACCCATCTCCTTTTCTTTTATTTATTTATTTAATTTATTATACTCTTAAGTTCTGGGGTACATGCACAGATTGTGCAGTTTTGTTACATAGGTATACACATGCCGTGGTACTGGTTTGCTGCATCCATCGCCCCATCAACATTAGGTATTTCTCCTAATGCTATCCCTCCGCAAACTCCCCACCCCCTGCTATTCCTCCCCTAGTCCCCCACCTCCCAGGCCCCAGTGTGTGATGTTCCCCTCCCTGTGTCCATATGTTCTCATTGTTCAACACCCACTTGAGTGAGAACATGCGTGTTTGGTTTTCTGTTCTTGTGTCAGTTTGCTGAGAATGATGGTTGCGAGTTTCATCCATGTCCCTGCAAAGGCCATGAACTCGTCTTTTTTATGGCTGCATAGTATTCCATGGTGTATTCTTTTTGCTATCCATTTTACTCTCCTACTCTGGCCAATAGACTGCTTGCAGCCCTTTAAAGTTACAGCCCTCTGATGTGCCTAACGTACCTTTCACATTCTATGCCTGGCCAACTCCTGACCATCATCTATGTCTCAAACACCTCTTCTCTAGCCTCCCGTCATGTTTTACACTTCTTGCTACATATGCCCACAGCACCCTAGCTTTTCCTCTTTGTAGCACTCATTATATTAATTGCTTGTTTAATATCTACCTTTCTAAACAAGCTCCATAAAATTAGGGGACATATTTCTCTTTTCCAGTTTCGTAATTTAGTACCCAACATAAAACTTGATACACTGCAGGTGTGCTCAAAAAATATTTTAAAAACTGAAAAGTAACTCCAAGAGAATTTGAAAATGGAAAGAGAGAGAGGGAGGGATGGACCAACATAGCATGGCAGAAGGTTAATTTTCGTGGTGAAACATTTGGGGAAAAGATGGACTTTGGTAATGTGTTTCACTGTGGACCTCTGGAAAACCAAAGTGCACCATAATGACAAGTTTACCTAGAGAAGGAGAATCTGTGATTAGAATTAACTGTTTTGCAGAGATCAGTGGTCTCTGATGGTAGTTGCACCCTCTTGCTGGTGGGTCATCCTGGATCCTGTGCACACACATGGTGTTTGGTGCTTATGAAATTTGTTAGGGGGAAATCTGTTAATTTCTATTTTATAGCATTATCCATTTCTCATCCCAGTTTTGTACTTACAGAGGAAATGAAGGAACCAGATGATCAGGATACTGATGGGGAGAAATCAGGTAGATCAAAGAGTGATGGGAAGCATTCTCTGAGGTCTTCTAAATCGGAATCAAGATGTAAGTAAAGATTATACATATATACTTTTAAAAGTATTACATTTAGGTAAACAAAAAGTCAATTTTTATAGTAGAATAGAAAGAGTAGACTCTTATAAAATAGATCTTTTATAGTCCCTTTTCCCATAAAGCTGTAGGAAGGTGGGCTTCATAAAAATGATGGAGTGAGCAAAGAAAAAAAAACTACATGGAGTCCAGGAAATAAGAGATTCAAAATAAAAATGAGGCAAAGGTAACACCCAGAATGACACCTGGGCAGCCATGCAGAGAGCAATTTTTTTATGACTAAAGCAAGGAAAGGAGAATTTTCACCTCCAGGAAAGTTAAAAAATGTTAAAAAGTAGATTATCTGATAGATGGAGGTAGAAAATTGAATTGAGTGGAATTTATGGAACTATGGCAAGCTGTGGGAAGACTTATCAGGAGATTCCAGAAAGTTAAGAAGTGAAAATAAATGAGATAATTATTAGTTATAGAAAAGTGGGTTGTTCAAGAAGGAAATAATAAATTCTTAACTCAGGAATGAGCATTATTAAGCCAATATACTAAAAACAGTAAGCATGGACTTCATTATAGTTTTGTAGTGCTTTAATTATATTGCAAAGCAGAGAGATAGCAAGTGGTGATAGAGATTTAACATTCTTAATCTCCCACAACAAACACTGTCGAAAAGTGACTAGAGAGAGCATTGTAGCCATATTGTTTAGAAATATGGAGGTAAGTATCAGAAGAAAGAAGGTTAAAAGCTAAAAGTGATACTTCTGGAAAGATAAGAGAAGGCTGTTAAGTGGGGAAAAGTTGAGTATTTTTTTAAGTTGAATATTTTAAAAACAAGTCTTTTAGCATTACTTGACTTTTTAAGTTATGGGCATGTACTTCAATAAAAATAAAAATTTTCTAAAAAGTCAAAAAAATAGGCAAAGTAATTTTTTCTTCTTCTTCTTTTTTTTTTTTTTTTTTACAATCAAGTAGATGAAGTGAGCAAAATAATTTTTAAGTAGTGCATATCTGAGTTATAGAACAGAAATGGTTTTCCCTTACAAAGTTCCTTGAGAGCAGTCTGGGTTTGACTTGTTTATCACAGCTCCTGGCACACAGGTTGAGAATAACCTATCCACCGGTGTAGTCTAGAGTTCTCCTGTGAGAGCTACTAAGTCTTTAATGGACTTTTCTGATACAGTGTAGTGAAAGAGATCTGGACTTTGGTTTTGAGTCCTGGATCTACCATTTAGAGATGCTTGATCTTGGGAAAATTATCGCGTCTTTCTGAGCCTCGATTTTCTCACCCATTAAAACAACAATTATGAGTCACTCAGGAATTGAATAGGATAACATGTAGAAGAATTTCACAGACTTCAATGGAATTTAAAAGGAGGAATTTATAACTAGGAATTTTGAAAGATGGCTGGCTCTGACTATCACAATATTAGGTATCTTAGTGGAATCTTGACTTTTTAAGGTTCTAATCCTAAATATAATTTTAGAAATTTGATTTTGACTGTTCACCTAGACAAGTGAGGTCCTCAGAATATCAATACACATGTAAAATTTGCACTAACTTCTTTTAATCTATCAGACATGTCTTGTAAATCCACAGTTTCTCCACATTATATTTTATTGTAGGCATTTGTCTTCTCTGGTTTGCCCTCTTGCAACGTGGATTTTTGTCTAAGTCTTCCTGTGCAGACCTCCCTCCACACCACCACTCGAGTTCTTTCCAGAAAGTATGATTATATCACTTACCTCAGACACTTTAGTTTGTTCCTTCCTTGTTTTTCCTTTTTCATTTGCCTGTGCTCCCTGCCTTTCTGATAGAGGATTGCCTATGTGTTGGTTTCCAGTCCTCCGCAGTGTTTTCCTGGATGCTACTGTCACCTTTCCCTTGATGGATTTAATGATAATGACCCTTTGTCTAGCACTGCCTTCAGGACCTCCCTTCCTGAGGATCAGACCCTCCTAGGGGCAGACCTTTTCAAGTGTGACCTGGCCCAGTGCTCAGCTCCTTAATTAGTTCACACATCGTCAGTCTTAGAATCCCAAATGATAATGTGAAATTATTTTCTGGCATTTTAAATATCCTGTATCTTGTTGCTGTGTGAAGAGGCCTCTCTCCTGGTTCAGCCTCATACCTGATATCTGCATTCCCCCCACCCCTGGCAAAGCCTTGATTTGCTCTCAGGCTTGCTAACACTTCAGGGCAAGTTTTTACTCTTTGGGATTCTCATGCAGAATGAATAAAAGTCCTTGTATTCCACCCAAGCAGAGAAGTTGGAGTAGACTTGTCCCCATACTTAGTAAGAGGTTTCTGCTATCTCTGAGTTCTATTAAGAAATTTAGGTCGAGTGTGCCAGATAAACCATCCATCATTTCTCACAAGGGTGAAGGACTGTTAGTTACTAAGGCATTGATTTCTGAGTCTTATCAAAGGACTAAATTATTACAGACCTTATTTAATAATTTTGGGAAGTATTTTGTTCTTTTCTATTTTCAGAAATATTTTGTGTAGAATTGGTATTATTTCTTCCTTAAATGTTTGGTAGAATTTACCAGTAAAGCTGTCTGGGCCTGGAATTTTCTTAATTAGTGGGAAAATTTTAACCATGAGTTCAATTTTTTAAACAGATGGCTGTCTGTTTCTTCTTTACTAAGTTTTGCAAGTTTGTATCTTTAATGGAATTTGCTCACTTCTCTTCTAAATTGTCAAATTTGTTGATGTAACTTTGTAAGATCTGTTTTCATTCTTGATGTTGGAGATGTATGTTGTTTCGCTTTCATTTGTTCATTGGTCTAGCTAGGAGCTTGTCAATATTGTTTATCTTTTCAAAGACTAAGAGTTTGGGTTTGCTAATTTACTTTGTCGTTGTTTCATTTATTTTTCTAGTTTCTTGAGGTGAAACTTTAGGCCATTGATTTTTTTTTGACTTTTGTTTTTTTTCTTATATATGTATTGAAAGCTATCTTTCCCTCCAAAGACTGCTTTAGCTGTATCTCAATTTTAATATATTGTATTTTAATAATAATTTGAAAAATTTTTAAATTTCTTGATTTCTCCTTGACCCATGCATTATTTTTATTGTGTAATTTAATTTTCAAATATTTGACTTTTTTTTCCAGGTATCTAATCATTACCGGTTTCTAACTTACATCTGTTGTTTTCAGAGAACATATATATTCTATATGATTTCAATCTATTTAAATGTATTAAAACTGGTCTTATGTCCAAGCAAGTGATCTGTCTTGGTAAATGACCCATGTGTGCTTGAATGTGCATCCTGTATTGGTAGATGTAGTGTTTTATAAATGCCAGGTCAAGATGGTTGATAGTGATGTTCAGATCATCTATGTCTTTACTAAGTTTTAGACTAGTTGTTCTATCAATTGCTGAAATATGTGTGTTACTATAATTAATAGTAACTCTAAGTAGACTGTGAAAAGTTGTTATATATTATCTCTGAAGCAACCACTAATAAAACACAGAATTGATAAAAAGCCAACAGAAATTTAAATAGAATACTAAAGAGTAAATAATCTAAAAGAAAACATGGAAAGAGAAAAAGAGGGAAAAAACTAGGAGAAAAACACAAATTATCAAATGTTATTTGTTAATTTCGCATGCTTATGTTATTAAAATCCAACCATATCAATAATTACATTAATTATTAGCTAACTGAACATTAATATAAAAAGGCAGAGATTATCAGTGTGGCTAATAAAAATAAGAACCAACTATATGATGCTTATAGAAGATATACATTAAGTATAATGACACAAATAGGTTGAAAGTAAATGGATGGAAAAAGATATATCATGCAAAAAGTAAGCATAACAAGGCTGGAGTGGCTATATTTATACCAGATAAAATAGACTTCAAGGTAAAGAGAACTACCGGTGACAAAGAGGGGCATTTCATAAGGATAAAAAGATCAATTAATAAGAAAACATAATACTCATAAATATGTGTGCACCTAGTAACAGCATCACAATACACAAAGCAAAAATAGAATTAAAGAAAAACTAATTCCACAATCATAGTAAGAGAGCAGCCTGGTACTAGTTATTTCATAATAGCCAAAGTAGATATGCCTACTATTAATTTTTGTGTATTGTTGTTTTATACAGTAATCGTACTGAACTCTTCAAAATTATAATAAATTATAATTTAGTTCTTATGAATTTTTTATAAAGTAGCTCTTATGGATTTTTATGTATGTGCAACCATAGCATTTGTAGGCTTTCTTATAGTGTTGTGAATCTCATGGAAAGGTAGTGGTAAATAAGGAATCCTAGAGGCAAACTGTTTGCCGGAAGCAGTATCTCTGTGGTAGCTGGAGAGGAGAGATCCCAAAGCTTCCTACATCCATGGTTGGAGGAAACAAACAAACAAATGGAAGAAACTCACATATGGAATTGTGGGTCATACAGCCAAAATCCCAGCAGGTTCTTTTGAATATCTACAGTTATGGCCTTCCTATCTCCTTGGTCACCTTCCATTGCTTTCTCCTGCACCCATCCTTGTTCAGTCTCCACTAATTCTGCCAGCCCTTTTGCCAGTGGTCCTGCCATCCATTTGTGATTTGGGGTTTTAACTGCTTCTAGTACTACCAAAAAACGGAGTTTGTGTTTTTGGCGTTTATTCTCAATGTTGATTTTAGATTATTTCCAAGAATGGAAAGGCAAATACTGATTTATTCTTCAAACCATAAGTCTTCAACCAGTCTATTTTAGGATTATAAAAATTATAGAAATATCCAGCTCTCACAAAGTTGCCTAAGTGTGCTGATTTGCCAGCTTGATTTAGTGTGCCCACTTCCTGGCAAATTAGTTTTTGTTTGTTTGTTTGCTTTCCAAAGTCCAGTTTTCTATCAGTGGCACCACCCTTTTCCCAGGCTCAGAATCCCCATTATTCTTTAATACCTCCTCTCCTTCATCTGTATTCACTCTCAATTCGTTAATCAGTGATCACCTACCTCATCTATCAGTTCTAGCTCCTTTTCCAGGGAAGCCAGAGGCTAGGAGGAATGTTACTCTTGTAGTGCCCTAATCTTGAAATGAGGAAATAGTCTTTGGTTGCCCCAGTCACAAGAATGAACTAAGGTAGTATTAGAGCATAGTTCTCTAGGACCCTCCCTTGGGGGATCCAAGCTGTGTGTTTGGCCGCTTTAGGTACCCAGGATTACTTTCTTGCCATCCAGATACATGAATCCTAAGGAACTCTGTCCCATTCTGCAACTAATTGGCTTGGCCCAGCTCTTCTGTCTTATTCATATTAGTCTTGGGTGTTGTTCCTAATCTTTTAGTCTCATCTCAGATCTACTATGTAGCTCTGGTACCTAGTAGTACACTTGCCATTTCTTCCTTGTTCTTCTGAAAGTTCACCAAGCCCTATGTGAAAGTATACCCATCCTGCTTGGCATTGTCTATTTTAACTATCTCCATGTTTGGACTTGATCTGAATGTTGGCTTATACCTGGGGCCATTCTACTCATATTCCAGTTCCCATTCCCAGCTTGTCCTAAAGCCAATATTCCAACTTGTTCCTGGGATACCACTTCCAAGCAAAAGCATCATACTCAGAGAGTTATGCTTCAATAAGCTTTATTTGTCTTTAACATAACAGATTCCCTATAAAAATTGAATTGGTAAAATTGAATTTAGTTGAAATTATGATAGCAGCATGCTAACCTCTCTTTTTTTTCTTTATCTTTTCCTTCCTCTAAGTATTTAGTGATAGGAAATAGACTGGAAATGAAGTGAAAATGGAGGTTAACAAACAGAAAAGGCTTTTCTATTTTGTAAAGTTACAAGACTGACCAAATAAAATGATTCTTCTAGAAATTTTTGAGTATGTATTAAAATTTATTACATCTAGAGCACAAGCAAATTGGAAGTTTTAGCTATTTTAGAAATAAGAAAATGTTTAATCAAAATTTAGAAGTTATTAAAACAAATTTTAATAGCTCCTGTTAAAGAAGATAACAAACTTTTAGAAGAAGCCACAGACGAAGCGTTGACTGAAGGGAAAGAACCATATTTAGATGAAGACTCAGATGAGGAACATTTGGAAGGAAGTTTGAGTTCATTTCAGTATGAAGATTTGCAAAGCACTACAGGTAGGTATTGTTAGTTTTCTACCAGTAATTGTCACTGTTTTAAAGACAAATAGCCAGATAAATTGAACAGTTATAAATCTATAGAAAGAAAAATCTACAGGATGTGTGTATGTGTGGGAATGATAAAAGGACAAGTATTGTGCATATTTCGGTAGGGTATGTTAGCAGCCCGAGACTTGTGGTTTTTATTTCTGAGGATCACATACAGAACTCTCATACTCATTCTTCTGGGTTTTGAGAAGGTATAAAAACAGCTCTACTACACATTAGTGGGAGTTCACCTCTCCCTTGGAAGTAATTGGGAGTTGCCCTTGGGGACTGTTGTGCCATGACCAGAGCTCAGCATTTACTCCAGATGCATGTGGGCTTGATGGCTTTTCCTTCCATGCTTGTTGATGACTGTGTCCTATATTCAGGCCAGTGGTAGTACTTACGGCAAGAGTATTGCAGGCTGTGTACATTCCTCCTGTCCCTGGGAGGAAATACAATTTTGTATTCACTAGACACTCTGTATTAGTTTGTTCTCATGCTGCTAGTAAAAATATACCTGAGACTGGGTAATTTTTAAAGGAAAGAGGTTTATTTGACTCACAGTTCTGCATGGCTGGGGAGGCCTCAGGAAACTTACAATCATGGCAGAAAGGGAAGCAAACATGTTCTTCATATGATGGCAGGAAGGAGAAGTGCAGAGTGAAGGAGGGAAATGCCCCTTATAAAACCATCAGATCATGTGAGAACTCATTCACCATCATGAGAACAGCATGGAGGTAACAGCCCCTAAAATTCCATTACCTCCTACCAGGTCCCTCCCACGACTTGTGGAGATTATGGGGACTACAATTCAAGATAAGATTTGGGTGGGGACACAGCCAAACCATATCACTCTTCTTAAATTATTTTATTTTTTTAGTATCTCAGCAACCCCCTGCTCCAGCTGCGGAAGAGGCAGAGGAGGAAGTTAAAAAGAAAATATCAGAGAGTTTCTTCTATGATTATATGGAGCTTGCTTCGATGCCTTTTGTGACTCTGGATTCAAACATACCACTGGACCTTCTCACGCTCGTGTATCCACCCTGGCCAATTATGTATAATTTTGGGATTTTCATTTCTTAGGTCAGAAGTCAGCAAACTACAGCCCAGGGAGCCCAAATCTGCCTTCCCACCTGTTTTTGTAAATCAGATTTTATTGCAACATAGTGACATTCACTTGCTTACATTTCGTTTATTATGGCTGCCATCACACAACGAGGGCAGACATAGTGGCTGTGACAGAGACCATCTGGCTCACAAGGCCAAAACTATTTACTACCTGCCCTTTAAAAGTGTGCCAGCCCATCTTAGGTAATTCTAAGAAGCTTGAATTCTTAGAAATTTGATAGAAATGCATGATCTTAATTTAAGCTACGCTTTTGTTTGATGCCAAATAACCATACAGAGAAATGATGTTTTTCTGGCTGTCCTTTGCACAAGTGGAAAGACTGCAGTTCATGAGACCTGAGTGAAGGAAACCAGACGGCATCTTATTCCCATTTACTTTTGCCATTGCCTGTTAAGTCATGGATTTCCCTTCCTGAAACACTTATGTGTCTGTCCATTGCAAGGCATTAGTATTTTCACATTATATATCAGATGAACTGTCAGAGAAGACAATTCTTAGGAAATAGGGCACAAAATAGCAAGTTTTTATTGGTCTGGAGAATAAGAGCCTTTGGAGATATGTGGAACTGGGGATAATTGACAAGGGATTTAGAGTTTGCCATCACATGGTGATGCTAGGCTTGTGATGCAGGTAGTTAGAGGACAGTTTCCATTGAGGTCCGTAGCCGGCAAATTACTAGGCTCGCCTTTTAGATAGTTAGTGCTTGTTACCACATGGCTGAAACCACTGACTGGCCTCTTACATAAGGAATACTTACAGAGATAGTGAATACTTACAATACTCACTGACTCAGTTTTGCTTTTTACATGAAAACATAAAAATAGAACATGTTGTTAAATCCCAGCTGTGACTAAACTAATTCATGCTGAATTATCTTGTAACCTGGAATTTTCTCTCTTCATGGCTTCTTTTTTTTTTCCCTTGTCTTTGGACAAGTTTCTGACAAAAGTTATGCTGTTTACTTCCTTTTAGCCTTTTTTTTTTTTTTCCCCAAATGGGGTGGGGTGATACATTAGAATCCCCTGGAAGTTTTTCCTAAAGTACACAATGCTCTGATGCCTTCCTGGACCTACTATGCTAGTTCTGTGTGGAGGGAGACTTGGGTATATGTACTCTGGAAAAACTCTCCGAGATGGTTTGGCAGTGAGCCGCCTTGTCACTGTTCCAGGACGGGAGGGTCTGTATTAGAGAAACATGCCTAGATTCTAAACAGCAGAGTCAGAAGAACCTCAACTTTTATTCCAATATATGAATTCTCTCTGTTCATGCTAGATTGGTGGTTGTATAAACTATAGCCTTTTCTTAAACATTTTCAACACCAACAAAATCACAGAGTAGCTTACCCCACTTTTGGATGTCTCACTAGAGAGGTTTTTGGGCCTTGAATAAAATCCTGCCTCGATGGGATGCTCCCCATTAGATTTAGTTCTGTTCTCTGGAGATGGAACAAATATAATCTCTGTATCTTGTGAGGAATTCTAGGAGGAACAAGTCAGCCATCATGCATTCCCTAAGTACTCTTTTAATTAACCCTTTAATGATTATTAATATATTGATTCTAATTCAGTTTTTAAATTTATGTCTTTTAAATTTTACCAATGTTAAATCAAGTTTAGCCTGAAGCCGCCTCCTTACATACTTTAAGTTTGGCCTAAAGGTTTTGCTGTACGTGGTGAACTATAACCTAAAGGGAGTTAGACTCAAGTCTACTCTGAGCCAGTTACTCAAGTTTTCGTCAATCAAAGGTGGCCAACTGTTGAAACTGTGTTAAAATAAGGCAGACGCCAAGCTGTAACGAGTTTGGTATTTCTGTACTTCATTTTTGTTTTCTGTATGTCACTTCGCTTTTTCAGTCCATGAATCTTCCTGCACGTGGCTGGGCTGGAATCTCTGGGCCTACTCTGGCTGAGAAGGCTGCCCAATTCTTGAATTATTCTTTGCTCAGTTAAACTCTGTTAAATTTAATTTGGCTTTTAAGAAAACTTAATTTTAAGTTTTCTTTTAATAGCAAGAAATGTGCCATTTATAAAGTATCACATAAACCATGGTATAGTTTTAAAAGACATTATACAGAACTTGACAAGGTTTAAACAATTTTAAAGTGAAGTTCCTGGATGACTATGGACAAACATTGAAAGCTCTGGGTCTTTGACAGGAATTTAAGAAGAGGCAAGCTAGAAGAGAGTGAGATAAGACAAAAAGCCCTGAAGGTACATCAAAACACATTTTAAGATTTTCAGAACTCCACTAAGGGTCTGCTGCTGTGTCTGGGATTAAAAAGAAAGGATCAGGCCAGGCGCAGTGGCTCACGCCTGTAATCCTAGCACCTTGGGAGACTTGGCAGGCAGATCACTTGAGCTCAGGAATTCGAGACCAGTCTGGGCAACATGGCAAAAAAACACAAAAATTAGCCAGATGTGGTGGTGCACACCTGTAGTCCTAGCTACTTGGGGGGCTGAGGTGGGAGGAGCTCTTGAGCCTGGCAAGTTGAGGCTGCAGGGAGCCGTGTTCATGTCACTGCACTCCAGCCTGGGTGACAAAGTGAGACCCTATCTCCAAAAAAAAAAAAAAAAAAAAAAAAGGATCAGATTCCAGTTATGTACAAATTAATGAATTGATTCAACAAACATTTCTTGAATAACTAATAGGCTGAAGACAACGTGCTAGGCATTCTGGGAAATGGAGATGGAGAGAAGCAGCTTCTGCCCTCAGTAAGCTGTAATTTAGAGGGTGAGAATTTGAGAAGTTACCAATCTGACCCATTCTGGCTTGCCCTTTTATCAGGACAGCAGCATGTAAAAGGGAGTTTTCCCGCTAAAATTAAAGATGCTAATATTAGATAAATGATAATTTCTCCAATACCTGTTTTCATCTAAGGTAGTGAAGAAATGGTAACCCATTTCTATTCTCATAGCTACTAACATGCTTTTAGCCCTCTGAGGTATTATATTGCCACCTGGGAAGAGGGAAAAAAAGGAAGGGAAGAACGGAAGGTGAGGGTAGTGGCGTGAAGAGAAGAAAAAAGACGTGAAATTTCTTTTCCTTGAACAGATCCATTACCCTGAAATGCTTTATCTCTTTCTCTCTTTTTTTTTCTCTTTTTTTTGAGATGAAGTCTCACCCTGCCACCCAGGCTGGAGTGCAATGCTGCAATCTCCACTGACTGCAACCTCCGCCTCCCGGGTTCAAGTGATTCTCCTGCCTCAGCCTCCCTAGTAGCTGGGATTGCAGGCGTGCTACCATGCCCAGCTAATTTTTTGTATCTTTAGTAGAGATGAGGTTTCACCATGTTGGCCAGGCTGGTCTCGAGCTCCAACCTCGTGATCCGCCCACCTCGACCTCCCAAAGTGCTGGGATTACAGGCGTCAGCCACCGTGCCTGGCTCTCTTTCAATTTAACTATTTGGTAACGAGAGAGGCTGCTTATACTTGGTTATAATTTCTTTATATTTCACAATTTAAATTGCATTAATTTAAATCTCTCTTTTTACATTCTACATTTTCTTGTTAAATTTTAATATTTCTTTCTATGAAAATTTGTACTTACGAATAAGTGGAAAAAATCACAATTTGTTTTTAAACAAGGGCACAAGAAATACAAATTCCTCCAGTGATCCTTCAACTTAGATGTTCAGCAACAAATTCTTGTGAACAAAGAATCTATCTACTTAAGCTACACTACAGGATATGCTTCTCTTGTCAACTCTAATTTTTTTCATAGATTGGTTTCACTTAACTTGCTTATTATATTTATATTTTGGGCATATTAATTTTGACAAACTTACTAGCAGTATGCATTTAAAATATGTTTTATATAACAGATTTGTATACCTCTTTTTTAAAAAAATTATTTTTATTTTAGATTCAGAGGGTACACATGCAGGTTTATTATAAGAATATATTGTGTGATACTGACGTTAGGGCTTCGGTTGATCTCATCTCCCACAAGTGAACATAGTACCCAATAGGAAGGTTTTCAGCCTTTGTCCCCTCCCTCTCCCCGCTTTGGAATCCCTAGTATCTGTTGTTCCTGTCTTAATGTCTGTGTGTACCCAATATTTAGCTCCCATTTATAAGTGAGAACATGCAATATTTGGTTTTCTGTTTCTACATTAATTTGCTTAGGATAATGGCATCTAGCTGCATCCATGCTGATGCAAAGGACATGATTTCATTGTTTTCATGGCTGTATAGTATTTCATGGTGTATATATGCGACATTTTCTTTATCCAGTGCACCCCTGATGGGAATCTAGGTTGATTCCATGTCTTCACTGTTATAAATAGTGCTGTGATAAACATATGAGTGCATGTGTCTTTGTGGTACAATGATTTTTGTTTGGGTATATCCCCAGCAATGGGATTGCTAGATTGAATAGTAGTTCTATTTTTAGTTCTTTGAGAAACCTCCAAACTGCTTTCCATAGTGGCTGAACGAATTTACATTCTCACTAATAGCATATAAGCATTCGCTTTTGTCTGCAGCCTCACCAACATCTCTTATTTTTTGACTTTTTAATGATAGCCTTTCTGAACTGGTATGAGATAGTATCTCATTGTGGTTTTGATTCGCGTCTCACTGATGATTAGTGGTGCTGAGCATTTTTCATGTTTGTTGGCTGCCTGTATGTCTTCTTTTGAAAAGTGTCTATTGAAGTCCTCTAACTGCTTTTTAGTGGGGTTATTTTTTTCTTGTTGATTTCTTTAAGTCTCTTATAGATTTTGGTTATTAGCCCTTTGTCAGATGCATAGTTTGGGAATTTTTTCTCCTGTTCTGTAGGTTGGCTGTTTAATCTGTTGATGGTTTATTTTGCTGTACAGAAACTCTAGTTTAGTAGGTCCCACTCTATTTTGAATCAGTACAATTTTATAGCATACATACACACAAACACATACACACGCTACTTACCTACACACCCATACATATACTAATAAGCTCAGAAAAGAAATGCTAGTCTATTAATTATGTATATATTTATATGCTATATATTATCAATTTTCATAATTTGTTGATATGAATTAAATTTTAGTTATATTTATGCGAATTTATTATAATCATATTATCAAATGGTGTGTTAGAATTTTACAAACATGTTAGAATTTGCCTACATAATATTTTTATTATGGTTAGTCAACAAATTTAGCAGGCATTGTGAATACAAAGGCGATGAAGATAAAGACTTTCTCCCATGTTATACAGCATGATTTAGTTTTAGTGGAAGATAGGAAAATAAAATTACCTAGGTGACAACTTTGCTGTCTGTGGTACCCAAATAGGTTTATCCTTATTTATTTTTGCAAAAACAATTAATGGGCTCTCAGGATTCCCCAGGAAAATTAAAATATTAACTAAATTAGAGTATGGGGATAGTCACCTGATTTGTTTATTTGTTTGTTTTTTTCCTGTTCAGGCCTTTTTTTTCTCACCTAATTTAAAAACAAAATTGTTAGTGATACATAGAAAAATCATGAGTTTCAGGGTAAAATTCAACTGCTTCAACCTCATATCTTCGTCTAAGATACATTTATTTCTTCACTTTTCCAATCCCTGGGATGGTGGTGTTTTTCACTTCTTTTCCTTAGCAGCTTCCCTCAGACATTCTTTTGGTTATGACTGCAGAAAGCGAGCTAACCTACAACTTCTGGATGACAGTATCGCAATGTACATAGCTGGGAACCAAGTGATCTTTCTGCATTTGAAAACCAAGGAACAGATCTACCTGCGAAGTAGCAGCGGTGAAGGAATTGGCGTCATTGGGGTATGCCTTCGATCAATTAGAAGAAAAATAATGTATGTTTTTTGCTTGTTTTGTGGACCAGCCAACATGGTTGTTAGATGCCAACACTATGCACAGTGTTATGGATTCACATAAGATGCACAACTGTCTTTATTCTCAGGCATTTCAATTCAGTTATTACAGCCACTACGTTCACTGTCATTACCTCTATGCACTATTATAATATTATTTCTTTTTGCAGTTAAGGAAACAGGCTTATAGAGGTTAGGTGACTTCCCCATAGTCCTGAAAGTTTTTCACATTTAGATTAGAAGTGGAAGTGAGTGAAGACATTTTAACCATTCTTAATCTGAAAACTGGAGCAGGCACATGGCCATGGGAATGGAGAAAGTGAGGAAAATGTGAGACATAGGATGTAGACATAGATTACAATGGAAACATGATATGTTGAGATGTATGGAGTGAAATATACTATCACGTTTGTTTCTTTCTTGATCATCTATCTATGTATAGCATGTATACATGATAAAAGTCCATGTTGTCAGGGAGTTTGTTACAAGACTAATAACTTCAGCAATAATTTATTATGTAATACTGTGCATCCAGCACTACACAGAATATATAGCGGGGAATTTAAATGAAGAACTCATGACCTCTATGAATTCAGAGTTTAAAATCCATCTAAAGAAACAGACCTATATTAAAAAAAAAATAGACAAACAAGTACATTACAAATGTGGCAATTAATGTGGTAATACCTGTGTACAGATAGCCATGGGCCCAACTTGAGGGCTGTGGATTTTGTGGAGGGAAGTCAGTTGGGGCCTATGAGGTTTCAGGAGCCCTGAGGTCCACACCGTCTGCAGGGGACGAAGAAACACCTAATTGTCAAATATTTATCTATTACTTTGTGGTCAATAATAGTTTTTAAATTTCTATTTTTCTATTTTGTTATAAAATAATTTGGTTTGAGGACAGTAGCCAGAGGTGTAGTGTGGTCAAGAATGCTAATCCTGGCCACCCACAGTGGCCCCGCCTATAATCCTAGCACTTTGGGAGGCCAGGTGGGTGGATCACCTGAGGTTGGAAGTTCAAGACCAGCCTGACCAACATGGAGAAAACCTGTCTCTGCTAAAAATACAAAATTAGCTTGGCATGGTGGCACACATCTGTGATCCCAGCTACCTTGGGAGGCTGAGGCAGGAGAACTACTTGAACCTGGGAGGCAGAGGTTGCAGTAAGCTGAGATTGCACCACTGCATTCCAGCCTGGGCAATAAGAGCGAAACTCCAACCTAAAAAAAAAAAAATAATAAGCTAATCCTAATCCTCATCCACCTGGATGTTGAGCAGTTTTATGTCCACAAGGGCTTTTGTTTGTGTGTGCTGGAGCTGTTGAAGCCTGGGTTGTGACAGAGGCCTTGCCTCCACTGTCCACATTACCTCATCTTTTCTGAAACAGTTATCCGGGTAAGGATGAGAAATACTGTAGCAAAGTTATGAAAAAACTATGAGAAAAGTGTTTGGGCCTGGAAAAGTTAGGGTGAATCTCTACGTTGAAGGTAAAGTAAATGATTAATTACAGGTCTTCACTAAAAATAAAACTCCTGGCTGGGCATGGTGGCCCGTGCCTGTAATCATAGCACTTTGGGAGGCTGAGGGAGTGAGTTCAGGGCCAGCCTGGCCAACATGGTGAAACCCCATCTCTACTAAAAATGCAAAAATTAACCAGGTATGGTTGCACACACCTATAATCCAAGCTACTCAGGACGCTGAGGCACGAGAATTGCTTGAGCCCGGTAGGCGGAGATTGCAGTGAACAGAGATCATGCCACTGCACTCCAGCCTGGGTGACAGAGTGAGACTCTGTCTCAATCAATCAGTCCATCTCCCAAACTCAACCCTACAGCAATTTCCAATATGAGAGGTGTTAGGCACACTGTGAATGAAGAGACCACCTAAACAGGCTTTGTGTGAGCAACAAGGCTGTTTTATTCACCTGGGTGTGAGTGAGCTGAGTCAGAAAAGAGAGTCAGTGAAGGGCAGAGGGATAGGAGTTGGTTTTATAGATTTGGGGTAGGCAGTGGAAAGTTACAGAAGTTATAGTTCGGGGCACTTTTTGCAAGCCAGGTGGGTGCTGGTGGGGGCAGTGTCAGAAGTCCGGTGTCACAAGGTTGACTTATCAGTTGAGGCAGGAATGGTTGAGGCAGGAGCAATGGTGGAATGTCACAAGGTGGGTTAATCAAGCACTGCAGGAGCTAGCTATTCTTCTTCTTTTGTGATTTTCCTGTTACCTTAGGCTTTCTGGCTCCAGGAGGCCATCTGGAGGTGCATGTGTGGGTCACAGGGGTCACCATGGTATAGTCCATGGTACAATCAGTTCAGAGAACCTTGCATTAGGCAGAAATTTTTTCTCTTCTATTTTTTTTTAATTGCATTTTAGCTTTTGGGGTACATGTGAAGAACATGCAAGATTGTTGCATAGGTACACACATGGCAGTGTGATTTGCTGCCTTCTTCCCCTTCACCTGTATCTGGCATTTCTCCCCATGCTATCTCTCCCCACCTTCCCACCCCCCGTCCCTCCCCCATTTCCCCCCAACAGACCCCAGTGTGTAGTGCTCCCCTCCTTGTGTCCATGTGTTCTCATTGTTCAACACCCTTCTATGAGTGAGAACATGGGGTGTTTGATTTTCTGCTCTTGTGTCAGTTTGCTGAGAATGATGGTTTCCAGGTTCATCCATGTCCCCACAAAGGACACAAACTCATCATTTTTGATGGCTGCATAATATTGCATGGTGTATATGTACCACATTTTCCCTGTCCAGTCTATCATCGATGGGCATTTGGGTTGGCTCCAGGTCTTTGCTATTGTAAACAGTGCTGAAATGAACATTCCTGTGCATGTGTCCTTATAGTAGAACGATTTATAATCCTTTGGATATATACCCAGTAATGGGATTGCTGGGTCAAATGGAATTTCTATTTCTAGGTACTTAAGGAATTGCCACACTGTCTTCCACAATGGTTGAACTAATTTACACTCCCACCAACAGTGTAAAAGTGTTCCTATTTCTCCACATCCTCTCTAGCATCTGTTGTCTCCAGATTTTTTAATGATCACCATTCTAACTAGCGTGAGATGGTATCTCAATGTAGTTTTGATTTGCATTTCTCTAATGACCAGTGATGATGAACATTTTTTCATATGTTTGTTGGCCTCATGTATGTCTTCGTTTGTAAAGTGTCTGTTCATATCCTTTGCTCACTTTTGAATGGGCTTGTTTTTTTCTTGTATATCTGTTTTAGTTCTTTGTAAATTCTGGATATCAGCCCTTTGTCAGATGGGTAGACTGCAACATTTTTTTCCCATTCTGTTGGTTGCTGATACACTCTAATGACTGTTTCTTTTGCCGTGCAGAAGCTGTGGAGTTTGATTAGGTCCCATTTGTCTATTTTGGCTTTTGTTGCCAATGCTTTTGGTGTTTTGGTCATGAAGTCCTTGCCTACGCCTATGTCCTGAATGGTTTTGCCTAGATTTTCTTCTAGGGTTTTTATGGTGTTAGGTCTTATGTTTAAGTCTTTAATCCATCTGGAGTTAATTTTATTGTAAGGTGTCAGGAAGGGGTCCAGTTTCTGCTTTCTGCACATGGCTAGCCAGTTTTCCCAACACCATTTATGAAACAGTGAATCCTTTCCCCATTGCTTGTTTTTGTCAGGTTTGTCAAAGATCGGATGGTTGTAGATATGTTGTGTTGCCTCCGAGGCCTCTATTCTGTTCCATTGGTCTATATCTCTGTTTTGGTACCAGTACCATGCTGTTTTGATTACTGTAGCCTTGTAGTATAGTTTGAAGTCCAGTAATGTGATGCCTCCTCCTTTGTTCTTTTTGCTTAGAATGGACTTGGCTATGCGGGCTCCCTTTTGGTTCCATATGAAGTTTAAGGTGTTTTTTTCCAGTTCTGTGAAGAAGGTCATTGGTAGCTTGATGGGAATAGCGTTGAATCTGTAAATTACTTTGGGCAGTATGGCCATTTTCACGATACTGATTCTTCCTAACCATGAACATGGAATGTTTCTCCATCTGTTTGTGTCCTCTCTTATTTCGTTGAGCAGTGGCTTGTAGTTCTCCTTGAAGAGGTCCTTTACGTTCCTTGTTAGTTGTATTCCTAGGTATTTTATTCTCTTTGTAGCAATTGTGAATGGCAGTTCGTTATTGATTTGGCTCTCTTTAAGTCTGTTTTTGGTGTACAGGAATGCTTGTGATTTTTGCACATTGATTTTGTATCCTGAGACTTTGCTGAAGTTACTTATCAGTTTCAGGAGATTTTGGGCTGAGACGATGGGGTCTTATACATATACAATCATGTCGTCTGCAAATAGAGACAATTTGACTTCCTCCTTTCCTAATTGAATACCCTTCATTTCTTTTTCTTGCCTGATTGCTCTGGCTAGAACTTCCATTACTATATTGAATAGGAGTGGTGAGAGTGGGCAT